TGAAAATGCAATTATATTGTAAGTTAAGGCCAGAATCATGTTCACTACTATATTATTAAGCTTGTGTTAACCCTGTCAGTGATTATAATGAGTCGAACTTGAGATATTTACTATTTTAGAAAAATTAATAATCTATGCATTTCAGGTTATACCTAAACAAATTTAAGATACAAACCTATTGTTTTGGTTCTAATAATTAATTTTGATAGTCATAATAAACCTTTGGGTACTCATATAAAATTACATAAACATGATATTCAACATACCTGACATAATAATAAACTGTATACAGATACTAGGTAGTAGGTAATAAAAGTAAATTGCTTGTATCTTTACAAAATACAAGAATATTTTAAATTAAAATCCAATTTGTTTTTTAATAAAATTTTTGCAATTAAAATAAAAATAAAAACAACTTATCACAATCAAAAAAAATATAACATAACATAAAATTTATATCCTAGCTATAAAAAAAAAACAATTAATAAATGAGAAACACCTTATAACCATGTAAAGAAAATAGAACAACATAAAACTTACATCCTTGCAATAAAAACAATGTATAAATGAGAAACAACTTATAACCAARTAAAAAAAAATATATAATAACATAAGACTTATATCCTTGCAATAAAAAAAATTATATAAAAATTGTTAGTGACTAATGTTTATGTTGAAAACAATGTRAACAATATGGTTTGTCACAGTCTTGGCAAATTGTTGAAATCATTTTGCATTTTTTCTTGGATTCTGTTKGGCCCAATGTCAACCTCMGATTTTCATAACAACCTACACATTTCCTACGTTTTTTTCTGTTTRAATTCCCAGATTTGCCTTCCATCTCTATCAAGTTATGTGGTATTTTTACAAATTTTGGAGAGACTGATGGAATTGACAACTTTGAAGAAATAACATCACTAAGTAATTCAYGAATGARATTTTCACGGAATTTTTTTWTTTGCATATTACTATTATTTGTAACACTTTTATAAACGTTCCATGCATTTACAACTGCCGTACCAAAGAGAAACTCAAACGCAACTTTATGGTACCACCGTATGGTTTTTCTAAGAACATTATGGTAGCTAGACATTTGATCTGAGATATCTACACCTTGCTTGAACCTATTGTAAAACAATATTGCTTCTGGTTTCTTTACATTTTCACCTAATCGATTTTTTTTACCTGTATCAATTATGTTTACAGTATGTTTTGTAGTTATGAATCTAACGGATCTTTTATCTTTCCAGTGACCAATAACTATACCATTATCATTTTCCATACCAATTATATCACATTTTTTCAATTTTTTGTCATCTTTCATTACATTTTTTGGAGTGTGTTTTACATTTTTCCTCAGTGTTCCAACTAAATGTGAGTTTTGATTCAGTTGGTCTTCAGCAATTTTCATATTATTATAATAGTTATCAGCGACCAATGTTCTTCCAGTGTTTAAATATGAKTGCATTAAGGTTTTTACAACAGTATTACTAACTCTTTCATCAGATAAACCTGGCTTTTTCATTTTTCCTTCATAAACAATAGATTTAAAAGTATAATTTAAA